GGGGGGTAGTTATGGTGTAATGACCTATTTTTACCCCTTTGCTGGCACACTTATTTAATTCAGATGCATATTTTTTACTTCATGAAGCGATAAATAATTTAAGTAGAAACTAGAGCTAACAGAATATTAGGAAAAAAACATATTAAAAGGTAACTTATATAACTTAAGTATATCATGAAACAATAATGATTCAAGTATGGCAAATATTCAGTGCCATGTTACACATTAAACAGTAAAAAATGCACAAAAAGTGGCAAGAAATTAGCATATTAATGTTTATTATCGATACGATTAGATTGATAAGTTACATGCACTTATGTTTATTATATAGTTTATGTGTTTTATGTTATACTTGAAAAACTACCTACAATTAATGTATAATTTTTAAATAATCAAATATTTAAATATTTTCAAAAGTTTGAACTAATCTTCTTCATACTAGTTAATGCCAAAAAACTTTTAAAAAATTATATCCAGTATCATATTTGCTTATATTATTGTATTTCAGATCATAGTTATGTTTGTGTTTTTGTATTAGCTTACACTCTTTAATATACATACAAATAAATAATAAATGATTTGAATACACTCGGAATACTAGTTAGCTATGCAGTCCAGGGATGAGATTGGCTAGCGTACATATACCAACTTGATTAAAATCCAAAAGTGGCTATGTGAAAAAAATTTATTCCTTAATTTTGGAAAAACTTATATTTTACTACATTACCTATATAGTTTATTCTAATAAATCAAATAAAACAAGTCTATATATACATGATTACGTTTATTTGAATAAATATGTATATAAATGCCAAACCTTCATAAAAATAGTTAAAAATGTAAATATTTAGGTACAGAAATGTGTCATAATCTTATATGGAATGATATCATGCGACTAGTAACAAATAAATAAATCAAAATAATGTATACTTTTAAAAATATGTCAGATATCTTAGAACTTAAGAAAATTATTAGAGTATTGTATCAAGCATTAATAAAGTCTACGATTAATCATGGCATTTATATATGGGGCATGTAAGAAACAATTATAGACCCATTAAAATAAATACTATTTTAATTCGTTTTACAATTTTCTTCAACGTATAAAATTAAATAAATGTAGTTAAGTTTCTAACGTTATTTTTTTCAAAAAAAGGATCATATTATTTTTTATTAGAGGAACTGAAACTATATTCCTGGACTTTTTTATTATAAAATATATATACTATTTGAATAAATTATTAAGTTTTAAATATTTTAATAGTTTTATATTACAACTTTTTTCAAAAATAATTTTTATATTCAGTTTTTGTTCATATTAGCTTGGCTATCATAACTCATGTAGTATCATGGTTAAAGTCTACCTTGGTCCTCTGCCCAGCACATATTTATGGGGGTGATGTGTCACAACAAGCTATCACATATCAGCATAACTTAAATTCAGTAAAAAGAAAATAATGTCTATACCTTAATTTAATCCCACCGTGTATAATATATTAAATAATAACTTAAAATAGTATTGTGTGCACGTACATTTTTAGGTATCCGATTATACCCTAACAATTACCCAAAGTTGTCATTTTTATTATCATTTATCGTTTAGATTAATAGTTAGTTTCGTTTAATAAGAACATTTTTATTCAAACAATACTTTAGTCAGAAATTATTGTTTATTTTTTTTATTTTTTGCGGTCTAATAATTTAAAAAAATATATTAAAAATATTTGTTTACCTAAATCAAATATCCAATTAGTTCTAAACGTATACTAAATACAATTCAAATTTATATAATTTAATTAAAATCTAAAATCCAAACAAATATTTTTTTTTTTTTTTTATCGAACGAAAAATTTCAACGCCAATAATTGTGAGAGCGTACAGTTATTTAATTAAATTTTTTTATTTTTTCATTCCATTATATACTAGAAAAAACTACTTTTGCGTTCTATGTAAAATGAGTTTAGTTTACATGCAAGAGTTTAACAAATATGTTATTGATATTTTAAAACCTTTTAATTTTCAACTAATCAATTGTTTTTTAATAGTATTGAAATTATTATTTGGTAATTTGGCAGTAGTAAAAAAATCAATTACAATGTGTATCTTCAGCTATTTATCTTAAATATGCTTCTGAAGAATAAATTATACTAACTCATATTTACAAACTCAATTTTTAACTTATTGTATGATGTATTAGTTTTAAATTTAAAGCATTAGTAATATTACATACAATTAGGTATTGGGATCGATATTAAACTTACCTGTTTGAAAACTTGATTTAGAATCAAATAATCGATTGTTTTAAAATAAAATGTTTATAATATAGAAATAAAAATACTGTTGAAAAATTTAAAAATTAATTATAATTTTTAGTTATTTTGATAATCCATTTGTTATTATAATTTACTTTGCTTACATCCGAAATGCTTCAAAAAAAAAATACCTTGCATTAAAATGAAAAGAAAATGGCATTTATTTGTATAATTGAGTATATTTTATACTCAACGTACATAATACAATATTATATAAGTTATATATCTGTTTGAAACTACAGTACTTTATTTAAAAGCTTAGTGACATTTGCACAGCATCAACGAGTAAATTATAGAAACTGTATTATTCAAATATATTTCAAGTTACCTATGTTAGAAAAGGATTAAAAATGTAAACTTGGTAAGTAGTAGAAAAGTTTTGATAAAATGTGAATGCGTAAGGGAAACAGTGGATTTACGTTGACATTATATAGTAATTCAAAAGTTGGTTTACCAATTCCAAGTAATATTGTATGTACACATAAAGAATGTGTAAAAAATAAATTTACTTTAAGAAGTGATAAAAAAAACCATTGTATATAAAATATGTAAAACCTAAATATTTGATAAATATGCATTTATCGAGCCTGAACCACGACATAACTAGGCGCCTGATGGTTTAAATTATCTTTTTTCAAAGTAGCTCATCTATATTAGCAGGATACATAACAAATGGTACTTAAAGTATTTCTACTATTTATAAGTACGTAGTTAAAAAGTATTATTTGTACGTATCTGTACATCCAGTTGAAGTAGATACCATTCTTAACATATTCATCAAAGTTATAAAAGTTATAATTACTTAGTGTACTTGTGCTATTTTAGTTTTTTTATAATTTATCAGCCCACTGAAGAATAATGAATTTGAATATTATTAAATATTATGGCACAAAATTGAAGTGATCTGCGAAAGGAAGCAATGTAATATGCGAAATAAATTTTTCTTAGGTACCTTATGTGTGTACCTAATTTGATTTTTTGACTTTAACTGCCCATTTGTCCAGCTTTCTCGTAGTTTGCAACATTTTACTTAAAACTAATATAATGAAATGATTATCAGCATAAAACAACGTCTTCAATATTTGCTGTATCGAATGTAGCTAATGTTTATTTATACTTAGATTATTGAATACAAATAATACTTACAGATTTTTATAATTATTTTATCTTTGATTATTCTTATTATTTAATATTATTCTAATAAATAAAAGTACTTGTGTATGAAAAAAAATGAATTACTTGGTAATTAATTATTTCTTGCACTTTTCTGAAGCCAACGTTTTGTTGATTTCAAATAAATTAATAATCAATAATAGGTTTTACAATGGAACTGTTATTAAAAATTGTCCCTTTTCATTTTTTATTTAAGTGAAATTTAATTTTGAACGTATTTTTTTAAAATAAAAAAACTATTTAATAAAGTAGCTAGGTAAATTTTTTTAATATATTATGATTCATAATTATTATTATGCTTAGCTTCAGCGCCTTTATGACTAGTAAATGTTTTATTTATGTTTCATGGCTTGTTAATATTAAATATTTTTTGTTTTAAGAAGAAAAACAAAAAAGTAGTAAATATAGTTTAAGTAAATGAGTATATACAGACAACTTTATTTTTATGAAATTTAACTTTCATTTTTTTTTCGCTAACATAATATTGTGATAACACCCCCTTAAGGGTGATGTTGTTATTTTCTCTTACTTGCACGAAAGTTTAATTTTTCGTGCTAGTTGAAGTGTTGGACAATTATCTTTTTCCATCTGGAGTAGAGTAAATACTTTTTTGTCTTGCTGTGTTTTATAAGTGTTTTCCTCCCCTTTCAGTAGCCGTAAAAGTTACTGTCCATATCAGATTAATATATATAGGTATATACATGTACGTATCGATACATTTCATCTAATGTATCAAATACAAGCTGGTAGTTGGGTTACTGACGTGTGGTCTTACAAAAGAGTTTGGTCAATCTTGACGCTGAGAACGACCACAAAAGTTCATTATGGATTACGGTCAGACACTATATTACAGTAGGGTCTCGATAATCCGAACGAGATTGGGGAAAGGGGTCGTTCGGATTACCGATTTGTTCGGATTACCTATGACTTAATAAAAACAACAATTTTATTGTAATTTAAGTTATTAAATTTATTTTTATCTGTATTAATCATTGAATAATGTATAATTATAAATGTATATATGCAAATTATATATGTATGTGTATATGAACCTTATTTAAAATATTGATTTATTTTTTTTTGTACACTGGCTCCTATTTGGTGATTAAATGCCTTGTCCCGCAAACGTCTCAGCAACATTACTTCTTCGCAGCTTTCAACGTTTTGTTCAGCCCACTCGATGGCCGTAGTCAACGCTTTTGTGGCTTTTGAAGCAGATACTTTTGAAGGAGGCAAAAATTCTTCATCTTCTTCCTTCTCAATATCTTCTTTGGTCACTGCCTGAATGATTTCATCATCAGTTAAAATTTCTTGGTGCTGTATCTCTTCATCGCAGCCCTCTGATGCCCACTGTTGAATTTCATCCTCAGAGATGACTGTGTTTGGAGTCAACTTGACTAAAAGTGGGGTGAAGATAATGCTGCCTTCCTGAACTTCAGTAGTTTCGTTCACAGCAACCAGGTGTGGACTAAGGTTTTTCCATGACATTTTTATCAGATTTTACGAGACAGATAACTAACAGTTAGCCAAGTTAAAAACAACATCTTTAAGATTGATTTTTTTCAAAGCTACCACCAAGTCATTTCCGTTTTCTTCGTCCGCCAAAATGTTCGTAAGTAAAGTTTTTCGGTAATTCAATTTTATGTTTTGGATAACATTTTGATCCATTGGTTGAATACGAGCAGTTGTATTTGGTGGAAGAAACATCGCAAAAATGTTGCCATCTTCACTACGAAGTTCTTCTACAGATGGGTGACCTGGGCAGTTATCCAATTGCAATACAGCTTCCATAGGAAAATTAATTGAAGAAAGATGATGACGAACGCTAGGAACAAATTCAGTGTTGAACCAATCTAAAAATAAATCTCTTGTAACCCACGCATTTTTCTGCCCTCGGTAGTACACAGGAAGTGTAACCGATTTAAATGCACGAGGCTTGTGAGCTTTTCCTACAACAAGTAAACGAAGTTTATGGTTGCCCGTTGCATTTGCGCAAGGCATAAAAGTGACTCTTTCTTTCATAATTTTTCTACCGGGAGCTGCCTTTTCTGTAGATGACACTAAAGTGTGGTCAGGTAACATTCGCCAAAATAATCCAGATTCGTCAGCATTGTAAATTTGTTCTGCTTTAAATTTTTTTTGTATGACAAGTTGTTCAAATTCTTCTTGGAACGGTTTGATGGAGTCTTCTTTACTCGAAAGTTTTTCACCGGAAATTTTGAGACGCCTTATCCCATGACGCTTTTTAAAGTTGTCTAACCAACCTTTGCACGCATTAAAAGTATGGTTATTTTTTGAGAATTGGCGGTGAAAAGATCGTGCTTTTTCACAAAGCATTTCACCACTCACTGGAAAGTGTAAACGTCTTTGTTGAATATACCACATGAAAACTGCACTCTCAACATTTGGATTCTCTGGTTGTTTTAACGTTTTACGCTTACCTGGACCGTTTTCCGTTTCACTGATAAACTTCTCTAATTTTTCCTTGTTCTTTTTAATATCACTGATGGTAGATACACCTATACCAAATTGTCTTGAGATGGCACTGTAGCTGGTCCCCTTATTAATTAACTTTATTACTTCTAACTTATCCTGTAATTTTAATGTAACATGCTTACGTGGAGCCATTTCAAGAAAAACACGCAAATAAATGTTCCAAATACGTACGATCTTTATGTACACACAATCGACACACAACTGACAAACGTAATCAACGTTCATATCTAACATCTCATATCTAAACGACGTACACGTGCGATGTTCTAACGTAATCGACAAATTTTATTATTGGGAAATACCAGCGATGCGATAATTTTCAAGCTCGTTCGGATTACCGCGTCTTTCGGATTAGCCTGTGTTCGGATTATCGAGACCCTACTGTATGTTGATTCTATCAACACATAAATCCTTTGTTGCATCATATCATACAACCTCCTTGCATTAAGTACACATTTAAACATTTTACATTCTCATATTATCGAAATAGTATGGTACCAATCAGTTCATATCGCGGATGTTATTTAGAAAAAATTAAAAGAAATTAAATCAAATTATATAAATAAAATTGATAGAAATCAACACACATTTTATAAATACATACAATAATTGTTGTTAAAAGTCAAACATGATGCACCGAAGCAAAGCGATATTAAACTCTTTCGATTTCGATGGCTGTGTTACTAAGTAGGTACTATTGCAGTTGTAATATTGGTAAGAGCTGAAGACGTGACAAAAATAGTAAGTAGGTGCTTGTAATTTGTAGTTCTGTAGCTCGTACAGTAAGGCAATTTTAGTATGGGGTGAAAGGTAGGCCTCGCCTACTAACATCCCTTGCCATACACGTCACACACGATTGAAATAGTTCACTTCCCGTCCTTTCCAGTAATATACAGTTATTTGAAAATAAAATATAATAGTATTAATAAAATGTAAAGCATTATAATATTATTATTATTATTATTATTATGTTGTAAACCTTTATTTTTTTTACCTATTTGTAATTGACTCCAAAGTCACTACGAAATAAATAGTTTTATTTATTGCTACCTAATTTATTTTCATGTGGATTACGTAATTTGTTGAAACCATTTAAAGTAATGTATTTCACTTCAGATTTGAACAAAATATTCTACAACAATTTTATCATTTGAATTAGTTAAAAAATAGTATATTTGTATGCTTCCCGACACATAATAAATTCGGTCGGAGAACCATAGCAATTGCATTAGCTCACCTTAGACGTTATGCTTAACACCTCAAATTACTTTTTTATGTCATTCCAACGAACAGAACTAAACTCATATGTTTTCCCAATGTATATTCATGCATGTACCTATTATATTAAGGTGGCGAACGCAGTAGTTCTGTAGTGAAGTATATTAGTTTTTTGCTGTTTTGAAAACGGGCGTTGTCACTTGTCTCACTGGTTGTCAATCGACGTAATGCTTCCCATTGGTTGTTGGGTGTATATATGTATGTATGTATGTATGTATGTATGTATGTATGTACTATATATATATATATATATTTAAATAAATATCTAGCAGTAGGTAAATTAACAGAAATCCGCATAACGATTGTCGTTACTGCAATCGATGTTTTCGGGAATGCATGAAAAATGTATGATTCATGATTTTTTAAAACCATCCACCGATTTAACATTTTTTAACAAATATGGGTTCGTGAAAATCATTATAATGGCCAGTAAAATAATCGTCAGTCTCCCATAATCCAGACTTACATTAGATTGAAGGATGGTTAATCGAAAATCATAATTAAATCAAAATCAGTGAACAATAAATAACACCATTCAATGTTTCATTGTTTTGCCCTGTTTCTTTGAACCGATTTGTAAAGGTAATTCTGATTATAGTCTAGTTTAGTACCGGATCACTTCCAAAATAGTTGATACTTTGCATAATTTCTCCTTACGAGGTTTCAATGCCTTATTCAATCTCCTAAATTTTCATTTCTATATGTGTGATGTAAGCAAGTATATTGGAACCCAATTTTGACATAAAATGACATTATGGCAAGTCAGTACTGATCTATTGTTTTCCTATGTTTGCTCATTTAACTGTATCATGAATAATTATTAATTTTATTCAACACATTATATATTCCTATATGATTAAAACAATAAATTATATATGAATGTGGTTATGAAACACACATTTGAATCTAATTATATAGTATATTTGCTGTACTCATATACTCATCATTGCACTAAACGAACTAATATATATCAGACATATTTATATTCATTGCTAATCTTGTAATTTTTTTAAACTGGATTTATCATTTTTTAATGTAAAAATAATAAATACATTAAACGCAAATTATAAACGTATTTTCTATTCATCTCATATTTAAAGTCATCAAGATACTCCGATTATTTCAAATCAGATACATCTTGGTGATATTGTAGTAAACGGTGTCTAGATAGTGAATCTGTTCGTTTCATACTAAACATTCCTATACATCCTTATTATTCAATCGATAAAATTATAATTGATTAATTCCTAATATTTCCATTCAATATAGTTGTGTCCATAGTTAAGGTTGGTAAAGGTCCCAACAGAATTTCAGAAGTTCTTCGTTTTATAAATGCAACTTTATTAAAAGTGGATAATGAGTAGTGTAAAAAATACATTTATGAGTTACACAAGTATCTCACATCCATCTCATGGTTATAGTCCAGTCGCTCAAGTACCATGATATTAGCTCATAAGAAAATAGATGCGAAAGTATTGAGTTTAAATGTATTAGTTAACTTATGAGGTAATAAAACTGATGGATCTGGAATTTGTAAGAAATCAACATCTGTATTCAAAGTGGGACAAGATCCCATGACCTCTTGTATGTTCTCAACTGTTCATGAATCTAATTTTTCATACATAATCAATACTCCATTTAATTTTGTTTTTAATTCATGTTTTTTTTTTCATATAGAGGCCAATTTTTTTTTCATTTCTATTTGTTAATTTGTAACATTTTTGCTTATATTTTTCACTGGTTATTAATTCAAATTAATTGTTATAGTATAATAGTATATAAGCAATTTTATTTTTATACACACGATTGGTCAAATAAACCATTAAGTAGTTTATATTCAATAAATAAAAATAAATATTGATAATTAGGTATAACGCATATATCAATAACATATTAGCATCTAGAATGTTTATAAATTGTTCATGAAATGACTGTTCATTGTTGGGTATTTGGTAATGATTCACGTAACCAACATTCTCGTTAGTTGGGTGTATTCAATACTCAGCCAGGTATGCAGGCTGAATCCTACTGTAGTACAGTGGGTATTGTAATTGACGAGGCCAGGTTTACTTTACCTAATTAATAGCCATGGAGTGTGTTATCCGGATATCCGTACGCGATAATATTATCCAGCGGTGTACATAAAGAGGGTGGGCTATCTGCTTACTAACCATGTTAAAATATTAAAAAAATAATCAGCATTAAAAACTTGAAATGTAAAAATAATGTTTTTGATAAAATATTAAACATACTTTACTTAATTATCCACTAGCTGGTCTGAATCACGTGTATTACCTAATTATAGCTGATACTTACACATAATATTGTAATTATATATAAAATACCTTTAGAAAATGATAACTTTGCGTTAATGGATTTTTTGTTATAATCAAAAAACACAATTGAAGAATTATTATCTTACATGAATAATAGATACGATATGCACACGATGCTGCACATATTATGAAATTAAAAAAAATATGTATGAAATCGGTTTGTTGTCCAGCACTTTTCGTGTATACCTTATACTCGTATTAATAATAAATAGTAAAATACGAAAAGTGATTCTGAGCGGATACATTGTGTCAAACTCTACCACCAAAAATATTTTGAAAAAATTAAGTTGTTTATATAATGTGCCATTAGTAGTTACTAGTATTTATTTTTCTATTAGTAGTATAGTAATAGTTTAATTAATTTTTTTTCAAAAAAAAATATCAAGTACCGAAGTATATTTATGATCTTTAATGTTAAGATAAACATACCGTAGTACGATGTAATTATATGAAAATGCTATTATTAACTGATGAAATTCCTATTAATAACTTAAAACTATTCTACATATTTCTAAATTGTTGGTATGCTTATGTACTAAATAAAAGTATCCCTCTTACTGTTAATAAGTTGCAACACCGTATGAATATTATTTTTTGAACCAAAATAAATAACTAGAATCATTATTTTTAGTTTAACCCTTTCAGTCGATGCCACATACATATTTTACTAATAACTTAACAAATCCAGTTAAAATCAGTATTTTTGAAAACAAAATGTTGAGAATATATTTATTTTTTGATAAATAAAATTCTTCTACTGTATTTAATGAAAATTCTGGTTTTTGTTGTTTAAAATATTTACATTTTCTTAAAGGGTAGTCAGCGTCCTGATATAATTTGAAACAACATTGAAACATGCAATGACTCGTATTATATAATGCGTCAGTTGGTCTAGTTGAAATTTGAATGTTTATGTGTATTTGCGTTGTGTCAGTGCAACAGAGTTAACACATTTTGTCAACGCCTGAGCTTGAAATAAATAAAACAGTATTCTTATGATTTTTATAATTTTAAATTAACAATTTATGAAATTATGTGTATAGAGTTAGATTAGTAAAGCATAGAATTCCAGATGCCCCTCAAAATGTTAGCCTTCTCCTCCGCTCATAAAAACTTTAAATACTTTTATCTAAATAACTACTTACTAATTCAATTTTTACATATTGGAATAGGTACTCTGAAAAATATTTTGCATGGAAATATTAAATATGAAATTAAATATATTGTCCTTTAAAAAAAATGAAAACTAAAAATGTGATAGTAAAAGTAATAAGAAAAAAAAATTTTTTTGTGATTTTAAATTTTATTGTAGAAAACTAATTTTAAAAAATGGTAATATTTTCGAAATAATGAGACTCCTATGTTAAACAAAAACTGTATAATATATTATATTATCATAATATTTTATTATTAAATTATTTTCTTATAAGGTACTTGCGAGAAAACAATTTATGGATTGAACGAAACAATACAATTATATTGAATACTAATACTATTAAATTAACAATTAAACGCTCCAATTCATAAAATTCACTTACTATTTATACATGCTTGCTTATAATATTTTCTTTCAAGTCTACTTAATATTACTATAACGTTGATAGCTAAAAAAAAAAAAATTATTACACTACACTTAAGATTTATTTAATATTTTAAGTTCAGACTTCTCCATTTCCAAGACCAATCTCGTGTAGGTACCTACTCCATCGATATTGTCACTTGTATGTATAATAATATAAGGTTTTCAGTAGTCACAGCAGCAGTATTATTAATCGCTTCTAATACGATCGTGTATATTTGTTTGCATCAGGTGAATCTACATCAGCCGACTAATTCGCGAGCGCATGAGGAAGGCAATCGCGCTGCAGTGATCGTCGCCGGTCGGCCGACCGCTGCCGCCACCACCGCCGACGCCTCCTGCATACCGTCACATCAACGATGACGACGACGACGACGACAACCAAAACAACGGCGATGACGGCGATCGCGATCTGGTGCGTGGCCGCCGTGATGGGCGCCGCCGGTGGTCTGGTGTTGGACGGCACGTACGGCCAGTTCCGGAAGTGGAACGCGGGCGTCAACGGCACGCTTGAGATGGAGTTCAAGACGAGGTCACCGAACGGGCTGCTCATGTACACGGACGACGGCGGTACGTACGACTTTTTCGAACTGAAAATGGTGGAGGGCACCATGCGGCTACGGTACAACCTGGGCGCCGGTGCCCAGATACTGATGGCCGGCCACGATCTGTACGACGGCCGGTGGCATCGGACAGCCGTCGAGCGCCGCGGCCGCGTCACCACCCTGACCGTGGACAACGCGACCAGCGCGGCCGCGTCCGCCGGCAAAGAACTGCAGTTCGGCCGGCTGGCGTCTAACTCGGCCGTGTACGTGGGAGGCATGCCAGGCTGGTACAACGGCCGGCTCACCCGGCTCGCTCTGCCGAGCGTCATATTCGAGCCCCGGTTCAGCGGCGCCGTCCGCAACGTTGTCTACACGGACGAATTTTACCCATACCCGAGGCGGCAGACCGCCATCACCGACCCAGCTCGACAACCAAAGGTCAGTGCATTTTTATACCTTATATTATTATATTCATATTACAATAATAATACTATTAAACTTATGTTGGGTTTCGTGAACATTTAATGAATCAATAGTGAGCTACCTACTAAATATGTTGAGACCCATGTTTGGTCCATTCAATTTTATTGAACTATTACGGTTAAAATCTATTTTTCTTCAACCCGGTTATGAACTGAATACTCTACAAAAATATTTTTTAAATAAACATTTATAATCCCGATTAATTACTGAAAAATGAACACTTTTAAAATACAAAAATATAAATCTACTAGTCTGATGGTAAAGTAAAAACTACATTTATTATGATTATGTTTCAATGCACTCCCTGAATGTTGTGTGTTGTCAAACACCTGGCACAGATACCCAAGTATGACTAATAAACCGACGAGGGGAAGATAGAAATTATGTAATTCAGAAGATTAAAAAAATGCCCAATAGCCTTCCTAAAAAACTGAAATATAACAGTAGTGATACATACACCTTAAACAAATTGTATGTATCATTAAGAAAAAATGGGCTCGGAAACATGAAATATCTTAGCCAGGTGTTAATAATACATAAGTAGTCAATTCAGAAAATGTCTAAGTGTTAAGTAATACAAACGAAAGAAAAAAGATTTAGCTTATTAATGAGGTAAGTATAGTAAACTTTAAATTTAGGTTTAAAAAAATGTTGTTAGTACGCAAACTTTTTTTTTTAATTTACCGTGAAATGGTATCACAACAATATTATTGTTTTTTGCATATTAATTTTAAGTAAAACGTTTAGTACCTTTGACTATAACTGATCATGATGTTTTTCAGTTAAAGTTGTTTCAAAAATATTATTTTCAAAAGAAGTTTTTAATTGGTTCAAAACCATAGCTGGACACTAAAAACTGAAAATTATTCTTCTTTTCGTACTTTTTAAATACTATTGATGACCTGAGAGCTAAAGATGTTGAAGGACTGATACACACAAGTCTTATTTTAAGATTACACTACTTATAAAAACAAGTTGGAGATTAGAAGTTAACTCATGATTTAAAAATATATATAATAGTCTGTTTTACACTCGCAACTCTTCGAATACCTAACTTACTGTTTATCGTATAAAATGGTAAAATGATTTTGGGTATCATTGAATTTAAGCTTAACGCATAAATTACTGTGACCTACTAAATTACGAGGTACACTCATACCCTACTATACTACAGACTTCCTTCGTATTTATCATACATTTTTACTAGTACTTGCAGCACTCTTTATGTAATTAAATAAAAACCATTTTTTAACAGTTAAATGGAAATTAAAGATTACTTGTATGAATATTATGGGTTAATTTTCTAAGGGATTTGCATCAGTATTGACTAATATTTCAACTAAAAATATGTGTTTTTTCTTTTTAATTACATTTAACATGTCGTTGATAATTTATAACTGTGTAAAGCTACATACCCACGTCAAACGTGTTATTGTAATTTAAATGTAATATATCCATAACATAATATATAAATAAATAAATTTAATAATAATGTAAAATATTTATTGCCTGTCCTATTAAATTTTAAATAATAACCTTAAGGCATTGATAAAATTGGTTTTATTGATTATTTAATTTGTTAGTTAGTACAATATTTTATGAATAATATGATTTAAGCAAGAGCTTTGAAAATGAATTAAGTTTTAAATAAAATTAAACCTATCAATGAGCAATTTTAATGTTTAAAAAATAAAGCAATGGTTGAATTACAATTGCATTTCTTCACTCTAAAAACATTTTTAAAATGTTTGTAATTTGAATAAAAAATGTTTAGATTATCATCGTCATCATAATATACAAAATTATTATCATTATTTACAGCACTTAAGTACTCAATTAATTCGAAATGTTCATACCTACAAATTGAATTATATATTATATTAATATTACATTCGTATTGTTAAATGTTTATTACACAAGTGAAACCAAAGTTTAGTTCAATTGATAAATATACATAAGCTCCGATAATATACAATTCACATTGGCCATTAACTACATACATTTTATATTTTATACATATACATATTACATCAGTATATTTGTGTTATATGTATATTCTAAACTAAAACATGGAATATTTTAAATTGTTATAATATCTTTGTCTGTACCTTCATCGTGTCATTAGATCACATTTTCACTACTTCAATACTTCATATATTATATGCTATTGCAAGTTATTAGTACATTATAATAATAATAATAATAGAAATAATAAAAAAAATAATACAATAATACAATTTAGATAAGATATTATCGACGGTTAACGATAATAATTTATTGGACTTTGCAATAAATTGCCGTTCAGTAAAATTTTGCAATTGATTGTCACGAAGTGAATTATTTACGGTTGATCGACGTATATCTCTATATTATACATATACTATTAAGCGTTGGCCTGAACGAGTCGTAGAAAAATAATAATTATGTCTATAAGCAATTTCTCATCAAAATATTTTAGTTTTTATTTAGTTGATGTATATAATAGTGTACACTGTACACTATTCGTTCATTAGACTAAATTTGCTTTTCCATAAAATACTACCAATTAGATCACCTTGATAGACCGATTTACATTATGACATTTATTACTGAAGCATTTAACATTTCAAATTATTTTGAAACTAAAACAAAATATAGTTCATAAAATATAATCAGCTAAAAGTAGTAATAAAGTGGAAGCTGTCCAATGTATTTTCCTCAATTTACACAGTCAACATTTCAACAAAACATCAAACATCATATAAGGTCTGATTCATGTTCTGGGAAAAATTAAATCTGTAATACAGGTAATACAACCTGTATTAAATATTTGGTTTTTAACGTTTATATCAATACTGTTCCATTTAAAGCGGTGAATATTTGTAGTTATAAAACAAACAATATTATAACCATAATTTTGAATGACTGACTGAAAAAAAACTGGGAATATATCTAAAGAAACACTAGACAACATAAGAACAAAAGTTTAATATTTGTTCCTGATGAGTAAAGCTATCATTACAAGTGTTTTTATGAAGAATTCATTTTATAAACTTTATCTCATTTTTTTATTTTCTAAGTTATATTGTTAGCCTTAGTATTGATTTGGTTAATATTTCACAAATGTAAACTAAATTTTTGTTTTTCATTGGATTTTCAGTATCCATACAAAAATATAAATTTAATAAAATCGTAGTATAGTTGACTAGCTTATTGATAAAATAAATGAAAAATGTACAGCAGATATACTTACAAATAGACAGATACCTTAAATGTATCAATAAATTACAGACGCTTTGTTAAAAATTATATTTTCAATGCAGTACAATTCAATCTGTGGTCACCCACCACCCAATCATCAACCATGAGTCGAGGTTTAGCTGATCCAGAGCGTCGAAGATGATACATTAACATTTAAAAAGCAGTGCAGATTAACGCAAGTTAAATTAAGAAGATGGATAATAGGAAAGCAACAATATAACCTATATAAATGCCATATTTACCAGAAAAAAAAATATAGAAACAAATGCATTACATTGTTTCCAATATTGAATAGAACTCAGACTAATCTTCAACAAAATTAATTTTAGCAGGCAGGTATAGTATTAAGTTATATCAAAGCACATAAAAACTTGAAACAATTCCCAATAGATGATTCTAGATTACAAATTATGAAAGAAATCAGCATATATCAGCATTGGAGGCCCTCTAATACTGACCTCTAATAAAGGATATACAAAAACAACTGGCAAGTTTTGCTGTGCTGAGTACGACTTTGCTGGTATATGAACAACGTCACATTGAGAAGGTTAAAAAATAATACTAAAAAAATAATAATAATATATTTACTATATAAATTTAATTAACCCGTTATCGACCAGCCGGAAAGACACATACTATAGTATTATAATACTAATAAGGTATACAATTTGTTCTCAAAATATTTTCTCGTCTACACATAAAAAAAAAGGCATTATTGAATCGAATTGAGAGTGAAAAGGAAAAAAAAATTAGTTAACAATTACTATTAACAAAAAAAAACATCAGTTATCTAGTTATACAAATAATATTAAGTAAAGAAATAAGCGGATACTAAGTGATGACTAATGAGTTATGCTCAGGACGGCTAGACTTAAGACGGCCAAGAGATGATGGCCCTAAAAAAGGCTGGTATCGTAGCACTGTAGAGGGCCTGGTGTTCACTGGTCATCTTAAAAAGATTAATCTCGTTATAATAGTTGGTGTTGGGTAGAGTATTCAATAAGTCGTTCTTGGTCAACGACTGCGGAGTTGTCGATTCTCGATTGCATGCGCTTTACATCGTCGGTGAACAAGTCGTATCGTTGGGTGGTCTTGCGCTCAAGACGTGAATAGCCGATGGACAGTGTTCTCGCGACCACTGATCGTATTAAGTTACGTCCCTTGTATGGACGCCAGAGGAAGAGCACCGGAGCTCAGTCGTCAATTCCTGCTATCTCTAACTAGACAAGCGCTGGCACTCGATGGCTCGAAAACCAATTTCAATCTTCTCAACGCGTCGTTCCTTTCCTTACCGACCTCGTTTCTCCATCCCCACCCATAGATTTTTTTGGCTTTTTCGGGGGCGGCTTTTGAGCAGGAATTCCGGGGTCAACGGCAGGAATTGGTAGGAATTGAGTACTAAATATTGGCGTTGGAAAAAGTTGAAAAAGTCAAATGGGTGGGGGTGTGGAAATGTACGTCGACCTAGGTCAATAGTTTTTGCAATACTCCGCTATTATTGGTTTAGAAAAGCGCTGGTGTTCGATAGGAAATCTCAGTCGATGGTTTTCGTACGATGTCGCGATGTCAGGCTGAGCAAGCGAAAGTCACTCGGGACTGATCTGATCCGGATCGCTTGACGGTGATACTGTGATAAGATTATTTTTTTGATTGTGGTTGTGTTCATGTGTCTATGTAGAACCTCGTTTCTGCAAAATGTTGGAATGCCTATCATT